GCTGCAAACATCTAAGCAAAGATCCAAAGGGGGGGGGGGGGGGGTAGCGGGGAAGCTTTCCCTGATCCGTGACACATTGGTCCCCGTATTGGCGAGCTGGGATAAAACCAGTGATAAAAGTTGCGTCAGGGAACGCCGCCACAACCAAGACTACTTGTGGAGTGGGTAACCGCAGACGGATGCGATCGGCCCCAGGTGTGGCCTGGCTCATGGGTGTTGGGAATACCGTTAACCTCTGCCGTAAGTAAGGGCGTGCTTTGGCAACAGGCGGTGGAGGTGATCCTCTGGAATTATATTCGTCAAGGTTGTCTTCGTTAGCCTCGTGGCAAAATTTCGTCCAAGTCCAGCGTAGGTTTTTATTTTCCGGTATGAGCTGGCTATATTCGATTTTTAAGCACGTGCCGTTATATTTCCAATGGAAGCAGGCTCTCGCATTGGTCGAAAAGATCGATTATTTTATTGTCATCCTCCACGCACGGTGCTACGCTCGTAGATGCAGTATGCTACTCGGTTTTAATTGGACGAAGAGGCAGCTGACGAAAACATCAGCCGAGTGATTCAAATATTTAGTACGACGGGTACCGAGACAACTAAATCGATTACGCCGCTTCAAGCTGCAAATGTCTCAAAAACAAAAACCTCAAGACATCGACCAACCAAGCCACCTTATTGCGCCAGCCATTTTAAATAAGCCGACAACAAAGAGAGCGAACGGAATCATAAGAGAATTGAACCCTGCCATCAGGGTATCTCAGACCAGCGGCCTGCTCTCAACAGTCACAGCTAGTGCGTTCGGCTCCGACACAGGCGCCACGTTCATCGGCTCGGCAAACATGTCAGGCTTGAAACTGTATAGTGCTGGACAACTGAATGTCCACAAATGAGCAGTGAACATATATATCATACAAATTATGTGAAACAGGAAGGCGGGTTGGGCTTTGCGTGGACGAGAGCACGCGTCCCATTAAATACTGTTTAAATGAAGACTTGGGAGGCACCCGCCTGCGAAATTTTGACACGCTGTTGGAGAAGCATGGGGTGCAGGGGCATGAACATGTATCAAATTCTGCAGGTAATGGTGAGTTTCATTTTGGATTGACCTCATCGTGACTCGTCGAGATTGCACTGAAACAAAAATGGTGAATCCATCCAAAAAAAGCTTGAAATCTACCCTGTATACCATGACTGACATTTTTGTATCGGTGGGATCAGTTTTACACGCGGCTCTGTTCGCAGTTAGGATGATTGCAGGAAGGGTGCCGCTTGAATAAGTTTACACACATGAGCTTGGTTTGGTGTTGTACTTGATGCCTCTCAACACATCGCAAGTTCTGAACAACGTCGGCACAAATTCTGAATCAAAAGGCTGGGGGGGGGGGGGGGGTCCTATGCATCATACGTGTTAATGCGTGTGACGCCCGAAAATGTATCAGGACTAATGTTGACCAGTCACTTGCCAGAAGGTGAAAGCTGGACAGTTTTCGGGTTATTCATTTGTTACTAAAAACAAATAAAATCATTGGCGTGTAAAAAAAATTATTCTTTACTCCACGAAAAGGATCAGGTCTGGTGTGCCTAAACGGTTCAGCAAAACAGCATATAAACGCAGATCAATGCACGCGGAAAACAGAGTAACGAAGAATGACGAAACAGAAGCCCACCAGCACCAGAGGCAATTATTTCTAAAGAAATATCACATGCCAGCAGCGACAGCAATGGAACACATACATCTAGTTCAAGTATACTGATAGGCTGATCAATACAATAATCCCCAATTGCCAGGACATTTTGACCTCGGGTCATAAGAGCAGCTACGGCCGGGTCTGCACGGCGGTACTTGCTGTATCACATAAGTTCAGTAGCAAATGGCCAGGAGCAGAAGTTCAAGAATGATTTAGTTTGCAAAGAGCAAGACATTTTGCACGTCATGATATGTATGAGCTTTGACGTCACCACGTGACCCCTGGTCATCGTCTACTGGTCAGATGCTAGCTTTCGTATGCACGCCCGTATGCACGCTTTTGTGCAGAGAATAACTATTTTAATCATATAATTCGGGTTCAGAAGCCTCGCATCGTAAACATGCTATTTGCTTACCGACGAAGTACTATCTCTGTTTGCCATTTGAACGCTTTTAAGTTTTTCCGAAAGCTTCGAAAAGTGCTTTTCGGTTGGCACTCGGACAGACCTCTCGTGTGTTGAATAAGACCTGGGTCAAATGGCACCGTTTGATGAGTTAGTCATCGGCTCTCAGCATCGAAACGCGTCCGAGTTTCACCTTTTGTTCACTCCTTTTCTGGTACATTGAGTACTGCCTTATGGGCGCAGCAAAGGCAGCGTTGGTTAATGGAGCCCAAAACGTCCCAATTGAGGATTATCTCTTTGATTTGTATCCTCTTTGTTCTCGTGCGCACATGATGGTAAGGGTTTCCTCGATGCATTAGTTTCCTCCTGAGGTATCGGGCACATCGGACTTCTTGATCTTGTCCGTTAATGACATCTTACATGGCCTTAAGTCAAATCAATTACGGTATGAGGTCATATACCTTATTGGTGATCATTCCTGGTCTGCCGCAAATACGACACAATTTTTCATTTCTGCTCTTAAGTCTTCTATGCCGACGTTACGTGGCACACCAAGAGCCACCGTGCAAACCCAGCAAAAGAGGTCAAGTGACATCAGTTAGGAGTGAGTTTGTTTATTGGTCATTGTCTTTGGACCAATGTGAGTAACCGGTGTTTGTTTTGTTATCAATGGGGCATATTTTTTCTCGAGGTGTACAAATACACCAGAGTTGACTACGATGAACTATCTTGACCTTTAGGATTCAAAAGGTTAGATTTTCTGTAAAAAGGCGCTAAATAATGTATTCATGTGACATACAGATATCCTAAGCAAACGTAATGATGACTCACTATGCATTCTTGTTCGCATTCCAATCCTTATCGGGTCATTAGACTTTGCCACACCTACATATCATAAGTATTCAATGCAAGTTGCATGCACAACTTTTTACTGTGTACTTCGGGATTGTAAGGTATTCAATGTCGTATAAGGTCAACGAGTCTTTGAAGGTTTATAACAAAAGTCAATAATTTAATAGCTATTTTAATTCTATTTTTTTAAAGCAATACCGTATGTTTTATTTGGGCTGGTCTATCAAGTTTCGGCTAGTGTGCACGGAAAAGGCACTGGAGCTTTGTATACATGACATCACCAGCATACTGTGAATATCTTAGACTACTTTATTGGTGCGTTTTCGGAAAATGGATTGTACCTTCGGGCCATTCGTGTCGGTCAAATATCAGAACAGTAAATGAACAACTTCACACCCGATGACAACTTCTGATGCATTTTGATGAGGTTGTCTATTGTTGAACAAAACTATTTCGTGTAGACCGTCAATAGCTGCATGCCAAGCTTGAGCTTGTACGCCATTAGACGGCTTCATCGATATTGCAGATCATTGCTTGGTAAGCCACATTTGAGCTGCACATTCAAATAAACTCACATTGTTGCGCACGTTTTAATTTGTGGACGTCGGAGAGCTAGTGTGGTGGCCTTTTTAAGATGCATAGGCGCTCAGGCACCCGTATGAAGGCTTGTAACCGCTCTGAACCGCTGTGAAATTAAAGTGACAGTTGGCGCTCTTGTGGTGAGCTTCAAGAATGCCCGGATCTCGTAAAGAGCAAACCTGTAGTCTTCATGAATCCACCATTTGGAACCAAATCTGACATTAAAAGTCACGTTTTGGGACCACAATCGCTTCCGACGTGGTGGTGCTCCATTATATACAACTGTGGTCGTTGCCAGACCGCTGACTCCGTCGACATTCGGCGGGTCTTCAGCTGCTGCCATCTACCGGCGAGCGAAGCGACTCCTTCAGCGGGCGGGGCGGCTCCTGCCCGGTATGCGGACTCCCCGGCGCCGGCCGAAGGTAGACTCGTCCAGTCAAGAATCCCAGGAATGGTCCGCTCGGCAGGTGCGGTGCCCGCGGCGGGCGACGCTGCTCCGCAGAAAGCCGGGCCCGGCGCCGGCCGCCCGGCCGCCATCAGCTGACGGCCGGCCGCCGTCGCGCCAGTCGCGACGCACGGGGTGCGCCGCCGTCACCGCCGCTTCTCCGCGGCGAGCCACGCCGCGGCGCCACCGCGTTTTGGGGCTGTTGGCGGCGCGGCGCCCGGCGGTGGTGTAGTATTGCACGGCATGATTCACTCGCGGCGTCACGCAACCCGCAAGATTTAATGGGCCCAGATGACGTGGATAGCGAAGAGATAAGCGACCTGCCCCACGCGACACGGGTAAACCACACCCGCCGACCGGAAAATGGGTCGAGAAATGTGGGCGTAGATGCAGACGACGGACGCGCGTCACATTCCCTCCCGGGTACTCTGCATCAAATCGAAGATAGCTGTTTTTAAGAGCGTTATTGAAGCTAGTCGCTTTTGCAAAGATACAGTCATCGCATTTTAACACGCGGCACGGTTGGGGTTGGCAACACAATGGAGGTAAAGCATTGCGTTTATTTAAACTGCGTGTTATTCACGGCTTACAAAATGAGCGGTCACATCGCGCGGGATTCCAGCTTCTACCGTTCAACCTCCCGGTCCGTTTACGCCGTCTCGCCAGCGTGCGCCAAATCCTCACTCCGGCCTCCCCTCCCTGCTGTCCCAGGGACGCTCGCATTCCAGAGCCTTCGTCGTTTTTATAAGCTGGCAGACTCAAGGCTGGTGTTTGAGCGCGCTCGCAGGGCCCCGTCAGCGATCGCCCCACCAGCCGACGCCCGCTCGGACTGCTCCGGCGAGAGTGTGTGACCCAGCCGTCCACGGGCATGCAGGGATGTCCCTCGGCTGCGGGGGTGGACGCACCGCGTCCGAGTGCCACCCGCCTGGCGGCCGCGGCGGAGCATCGGCGTGCCCTCTGAACTGGCAACGCTGCTGCCATCTCGTGGCGCCGGCTGGCAACTATCACAATGATGGCGGCGCGCGCACACAGCGGCGGGCGGGCGGGCTAGCAACGACGTGATAAATCTGGGCCGAAATAGTGGCTTTACGTGCAAGATTGGTGGTAATTGCTGCGGTACGACGAGCAGCACAGTGAACTGATTATGTGAGGCGAAAAATGGCCTGGGTGCGTGTGCGTACGGCAGGTACATCGAGGGAGAATTGATGGTCGTCACCTTTCACCTTGTCAGACGAACGGTGAGTAGTTTCCCAGCGAATGGCATCCGCGCTGGTGCCATTTCATTGAGCGTTTGGCAGGATGCTTTGTCTTTGCTCTGGCTCAGTTCCGCTATTGTTTAGCGTTTTTGGATGTCATTGGTGTGGTTCCCTGCAATGTGTGGGTGTATGTAATATCAAGACTCGTTGAAAGGTTTCCTTGCAACCTTTCATCCACATATGAATTTAAGACGCTCACGGTATCCTTATGCTTCTTTGGGCATACATAATCACCCAACGAGATTGGACTCAACTGCTCCAGAATATGTGACACGGCTCACGGCTCATTATTCATGATGGCGTCCAAAAATGTTCTAATTTTCCATATCAATGCAAACGGTGATACGCTGACGCGTTGTTCCTTGCCTACATAGCCAGGCACAGTGAACGGAAAGGAGCGCGGTGCGTTCTCAACTTACGCATTTCTCCTCTTCTCATGTTATTGTGGAACGCGTCACACGCGGAGACTGCACGTGAGCACATTGAGTATCTCTGGCTACGTTTATGTGCTGCGCTCTAGTTTCCATCCATATGGCTGCGTCCGATCGTATAGAGGAATCCAGCGGCCGGGGAGGCGTCAGCGGTGTCTGGCAGGCAGGCAACGCCCGGCGGTATCCAGCAACCGCACACGAACCAGCACCATTCTACAGGTGGGCCAGCCTCATCATAAGCCAGCAGTCGGGAACGAGTCAGTGGTACTTAGCGGGCGAGCAAGGCTCGCAGAGACCAGCAAACGGGCACGAACCAACAATAACCAGCAGACGGACTCGATCAGCAGCAAACAGCAGGCGGACAAGAATAGACAATAACCAGTAGGAGGTCACGGCACAGCAGTGATCAGTATGCGTTGAGGGCTCAGAAGTGGCCGGCAGGCGGGGAAGGCTCAGCAATAACCAGCAGTCGGGCTGGTTTCAGCAGGAACCAGCTGGTGGGCGCCGCCCAGAAGTAACCAGCAGGCTGCATGCAGTGTAGGATTTACCTGGGCTGCGACCCCAGTTGATAGATTGTTTGCACAGGCCCATTTCCGTTTTCTGAAACCTTTGAAACGTAATTGCCGACTTTCTGTCAAAGCTTATCCCATGAGTCCTTTGGAGCTGGTCGACACTTTTGCATATTTGATCATCAGAAAATCGTGTAAACAATGACAAAAGCAAAGCAGAGGGTTTTGGCGTGATGATATTTGCCACGTTTGAGCCAGTTCATGGCAAACTGTGGAGTTTGTAGAATGGAAAACTGAGTGACAGACCCTTATTTGCAAAACACAGTCTGATATGCCCCTCAGGACCTCTCGCATTCAGGTACCTCTGATCCAGAAGCAACATACAATTTGAAAACATAGCACTCAAACAGAAAATATTTTATAAGATACGAGTTTAAGTAGTGCATATTGTGAGGTCATTGTGACCCCATCTCCTCCCTCCGGTGCCAAATGAGGAGAGGTCCTCAGAAAAGGTATGCTATTAGGCTTGCGAATTCCTGACGTCTGCATATGTTCCAGCACGTGCTGAGTTTGAAGGAGGAAACTGATTTTATAATCATATTGTTTGATCACAGGCACGTCATTCCAACCATGCCTTCTTTAAAATTCTCAGAGAGGCCAACACTTAATCATTTTCCCCAAATTTCGAGAAAATGTTATGAATGGGCTATTCTGTTGTTACCCTCGTACCAACATCCAATTTGGAGGCATCGAATATAGCAGCTTCTGGCGTTGTTCTGTATGTATCGATATTTCGGTTCCTTCCCCAGCGCATGTGCAGTGTGCTAAATGTATGTATTGCGAATAACCCCCCAAACGGTGGCGGGTTGCATATTGTCGTTCGTTACTTCGACACAGTGCTTCATGAGGAAGGCCATTAACAAACACAAAGGCATCATTGCTTTAGTGACATTTGAGACTCCCCCTGAGGAAAAATGTGCTTTCGATTCATAAAAAGGGAAGGTTGAAGTCATTGTTGATTCAACAATGATCTTGTGTTTCAAGAGGTCAAATTATAGCATATTATGGCCCATGACCCACTGTTTCAACAACAAGGACAAACAATATCGGTCATTGTTTGCTATGACGGGTGCCAACGCATAATTTACGCGAATTATTCTCGGGTGGCCCCATTGTATTGGCCTAACCAGGGTACGGGTTGCGCCCGTGCACGAACAGTCAGCGGCACTCCCAGACGCTGCTCAACAGCCACGAGTTCTTCAGGTACTCTCACGTGAACTGTTAGAGCTCTTCGCGGACGGGACAAATCTATGCACTCGGACCAAGTTCGTGGGCTGGACTGGACCATGTCAATGATTTTGATTAGGCTGGAAGCAAACGGTGTCCAGCATTGATGGACTGGAAAGAATTAAAGAGTCAAGCTTGGTCATTCCTACGCACCAAGTCCTGACTGGTGGACGCCCCGAGTGACTCAGGGTGTCTCTGTGACTCGGAGTGACCCGATGTACCGAGTTTCTGACCTTTGACCTCCTAGCCCCTCGTAAACTGCGGCCTGAGAGGGGGGGGGGGGCGACCAGACAAGAAAGGCTGCTGCACCTCTCTCAGCCGCGGATTGAGGCTGGGCGGAGGTGGTCTGAATACCGAGCCCCGGCCAATGACAGCGAACTGGCGGACGAAGTCAAGTCGAAGTCCAGATTGTCAAGTCAAGTCCAGACAATACTTCGAAAGACCGCGATGCCACTGGCTGCCAGCTGCTCGGGATCGCACGTGTGAAGATTGTCTCATCCTGTATGCATAGACTGCGACTTGCACGTAATAGCCGAATGTACATTTTTACCCAGCACCATGACCTAGGGTGGTATTATCCAAGTTTTCTTGTGGATTGCCTTCTTTCAGTGCAAATGCAAATGTTAATGCAAACACAATTTAAAGGGTTTGCATTGATAAGTGAGACCTTTTTTAGCATGAGCTTCAGCTGGAACGTGGTGGATTGCATCTTTGCTGCACGGTGAATTAAAACCGATCAGATTTAGATTTTGAGAGAAACGCAGACTGATAGGAAGATTGGTTTTTATTACTGATCTGCATTGAATGAAGTCCTGAAAATAAGCTTTATAAGCTCTACATCTCGGAAAGATACATTAATATTGACTCACTTGCCATGTGCTTTAGTACCTTGCAGAAGTTGATATCGATACATTGCTGTGCTAACAATGCTCGCTTTACTTGCAGAATATGAACTTTCAACACAACCCTCTTCGAAAACGTCCCGCGGCCTCCACTGGATCGTCAGTGGTGACGTCTGAAGCACGAACTGGTTCTGGTAAGTACGGCGACAGAGTTCTCTTCTAACCAGGCAAAAGTATGCACATATGAGTCGGCCAAACAGATGTCATTTTCCTCATCGTGACTGGCAATGCACACCAGCTTCGTTATCTTACGCCGTTGTGTTGAGGTCTGAGTCATTGGTGTGACTCATTGGGGATTGAGCTTGGAACGTGTAACCTATCCGACCTGACTGGTGTGGAAAGGTTGGTGTAAGCCATGGGCCGGCGAGGGTCCACCTGGCACGAGGCGGCCGTGTCGTAGCATCGTACATTACTGTAAAGACCCTACCGAAATTTGGTATGGCCAAAAGGCCGCATGACATTGTCTGTTGTGCTATTTCGCACCGCCCTCTTAGTACGCTCAGGCTGAAGGTCCACGCACGCAACCCACTCTGCTTTGCACGTATGAAAGTTTGCTAGCCACGAAGTCATCCGCGTAAACTGCAAACCACCTGTGATAACCCCAAATATATCGATTGCCACATGAGTTGATCGCTGCAGGCTACCAAAGCTCGGTTAGAACTAAGGATATGTATCAGAGCAAATGCGAGGCTTTCTTCGATGAATTCATTTAGGAGCATGATAATAAGATACTTGGCTGTGTGGGATGAAGTATATGTTTTGCAAGGACTAACACGCATTTTAAGACTTGTTTTCTCATGCAAAGTGATGACCCTTAGTGATGAAATACCTAGGTGGAGCTGTATGCGCGGCACCTTTCTCTTCCTTCAAGGCTCAGTCACCAGCTGGAGAGGGCGTCTGCGTTCCTCCGTCCAAAGTCAAGGAGAATACCATTAGACCACCGAAGCAGCAAAACAAAGGACCCAAGTGTGGCGTAACTTGGAGGCCGTGAACGCAGACCGATGGAGAAGAGAGACACCCGGTCATGTTTGTTCACTTTTACGAGTGGTAGCTAGGAGAAGATGGCCTGAACAATGATAAACTGATGGCCGTTTTGACCTTTCTAACTGGAGAGAGTCTCATCCACGAGGCCACATGGCGGTTGACTGCGTGTCACAGATCAACCGGCACACACCGTGCTGTTGATTTTAAACCCAGCTGTGGACCCAGGATGGGAGGCCGTCACCAGTTTACGTCAGTTTCAGGGTGGTCGCCACTTGACGACGCGTGTTAAGTTTACAGCGACCGACACCTGACGACCCCTGCTGGGTTCAGGACGGCGGCAACAGTCACTGATGTGCATTCGGTTTTAGAATATTTGTGTCCACAATCGCTGTTTGGCGACTCTAATTACCATTATACCGTGTTAAATTTACATTTTAGATTCGTGAATTTTAAGACACATTTGATACAGATAATTTCCTTTCTGAAAGCCAATGAGACGCATCAAGTACCATTCTATTTTTACTTTCCTTCCATAAGAGCTCTAGAAAGTATCTGCCCAGCGCCCCCCCAAATCCCAAACAACTGAAAAGTTATCACTTTTGCGTTTCCTTCAGCATCAACGTTGTAAACCGAAAGCATTCAAATTGGAGGCACCATCGTCGCAGATTTGCTTTGCCTCATTAAGTCCATGCTATAGCCAAAGCTCTCTCAGAATTACTGCAGCGTGGAGTAAAACTCTTGGCAAAAAGGACATAACATAGGGAACGTTTGCCTGCCTGGACTGGATAGTAACCGACTGATCCCAATCAGCCAGATTTGTCTATCAGTGCTTCGTAGCTCATTAACTCATCAATAACTCATTTATCAATAGAATGGCGGGGCGACCCCAGCCTACACGCTTGACATACCTAGATGGCGAGAGCGTTTCCTGCCGGTATGTCTAAGGAGCGCACAGCCGTCCAGAGATCAAAAGGAGCGCGGATCCATGGGTGCCAAGCTGGCGGCCCAGCGCGGTGGCAGCGTCCGGGGGAGGGCCGCGCAGCCGCGGGCGGCCGGGGCCGCGGCGGTGGCGGTGGCTCGGTTCGGCGCCGGGCGCAGGTCGGCCGGCTGTGCGGTCCGGTCCGGCCCGGCCAGCGGCGCGCGCGGCCGGGGTCGCCGCTCGCGCCCGGTGCGTGCCGCAGCCTTGGAGCGGCGGCCGGCGCGCGCGTCAGGAAGCGGTATGCGGCGCTGGGAGAGCTGGCGGCGCCCGAATAGCGGGCGGCGGCGGCGGCGGCGGCGGCGCGCCGGCGCACAGTCGTGCCCAGAGCGCTGCGCCGGCCGCCGCGCCTCCGCCGCCACCCTCTCCGCCGACAAGTCCCGCTCGGGAGGCACGCGCGGGAGCCTCGCTGCGGCCGGCAGCCGGCGAGCATGGTGAGTGGAAACCGTCGCGATCGATTTGGGGCGAAATTGTCAGCGCTGCCACTGCAAGGCCCCTTGGCGAGGTTGTTCCGCCGTGAGAATGGTTCTGTGACTTGAGCAGAATGCGACTAAATCGTTTTTGTCATATACGATGCCGCTGTTGTTCAAGCATCTCGGCGGTGTACGCCTGAATGGACCTGAACAAGGTGGTGGGAAAATTTCACAACTAGTTATGAAGGAGCTGATTGCCGACTTTTAATGGCACTTTGACTTTTATGTTTTGAGTGACTGATGTAACGTTTAACCCTGCGACAGTCCAACTTCACCCAGTGTGGCTCTTGATAGTCAAGAAACGTCGATCGATGGAGAGGGAGAATGCTATTGCTCTTCTTTTTAATTATAACGTAAATAAATGACAGCTGCCTAACTTGACCTCGCATGCACGAATTCGCACCCATGGAGAGAAAAGTGCAGCGCATGTTGTGACATACCCAATATATACCCAATATGTAGCAATTTCAGAAGGCAAGGTACAGCTGCTTCAGGCTGCATGATACTTTGAACCGCGATATGATGCAATACATGTTTAGCATTTATTCGCATGTTAATACAAGTAACATTCATTACTTATACGCGACCGTGAAAAGACGTTGGTTGCCTAGGAATATGAAATAAATGTATATGGCGCTTATACTAAAAGTACGAGACCTGAACAATACGAAAAGCTTTTATCTGATCTGGGGGGGGGGGGGGGGGGGTAATGAATACAGCCATGTCTCTATTTTTCTGAACGGGTGTGGCGGTCCCCCACCAATGTTTGGTTAGAGAAGCATAACTCCAACATTTCACGTTGGAAGGATGCTCATAAGATATCCATGAGCGCCCTAGGTGTAAATGATTGAACATATGGTATCGATGGGCACAAGGTCACCCTGAGCAGCCTATGCTTGCTCTTGCAGGTTCTCTTCATCAATCTGTCCTGTGCATCTCTACCATTGAGCGCAGCGGTTGGCGTTTAAAGACAAGGTCATGTTTCTCACTGGCGCCTGACGATGTCTTTTATCAAATGGACAGAACCTTAATTTGCCTTGTTCCCCCCAATCGTGCGAAATAGTCAGCTAAAAAGGAACTCACCAAAAGGCTTATGCTAATTGAAATGCTCGCGTCATCTTGTTTCCACTTCAACCTATCTTCAATACGCTATGCCTCTGCCGCTTGCTTAGGTGATGACTTGCTGAAAAAAAGTGTTGTGTATTGTGCTGAGGTGTGCATCGCTTAGCTACCTATGTTTAAACATACCGGCATGTTTTTCGCCCCAATCTCTGTACGTCATGACTCCAGTCGCATGAGACATTTAATCTATGAATGCTTTTAACCGGGATTGACACTTTCAGGCTGTGGTAAAATGGTCATGTAAATGGCTGTCGGCTTCGTCCCTGAAATCACTTCATATGTGTACTTTGATGACAATTTTGGTAATTTATTTAAGTGGGGCGAATGTACAGATGGTAATCACACCACCAGCAGAGGCGACACAGAATGAAGACCCCACATCGTTAGGTACAGAATCCTGAATGGGTTACGAGGAAGATATCTTGCACTGTAAGCAAAGGAAGAGGGGATTGTGCGCATGCTGATATGTCTTTGGCCAGCATGTACCTGCAGAAGTCATGACTGGTTAAAAGATTTGATACGGCCAGGCGGTAGCTTTTTAACATGAATCTGCCATACGGCAGCAAATATTCAGAACATAAAAAGCAGGATGTCATGACTGTGTCTTAAACATTACACAACAGCTATCACTTCAGCTACTTTTAAAGTAATAAATCCGAAATTCGCAACCTCAAGGTAAATCGCTCGTAAATTCGGTAAACGCACAGCTCATCGACCCGAGTCATGAACATGCCGTTTTGGTACTGAACTTTTGTACTGTTGTGCCCATGTCTGTTTACTACCCCGACTTGTGCTTTAATGGCAAAAACAGTAAGTTTGGTACACGACATGCGCATCATTATTGGCTCAGCTGGTGAAGGCGTGATCAAATCGTGCTTCGTAGATGACGCTGTGTACGAACAATGAGGCACAGTTAACAGCGCTTCATTTTTTCCTTCTTAGATTTCGACATTTCCCCGCATTGTTCGTGCCGATATCTGTAGCACAAGGCAACTGGTGATGGATCCGTTGCGAACGTTTTTGATGCAACAGGCGTGATATGCCACGATAAAATAAGCGTACGTCATGTGCAATATGAGCTCTGATCCCATTAGCTCATCTGCCAAAAAGTTTGGAAAAATCTTCTGAAAATTAAAAATATGTAAAGCGATGAGGTGGGCTAATCGAATGTTGCAGTCTACAACCCAGCCTCGTCCAGCTTGATGAAGCAGCTGTAAGCTGACGGCCTGGCACGAGCATACAATTGCAACGTCACTCGTTCCAACGACATCCTGCGAGAGTCCGGCGGGTACGGCTTTCTAAGACATCGATGAGTCCCGTGTCATGGAGAGCTGTTTTCGGGTGTGTACAAGGGCACAATGCATTCGTCGAAACAAGCCATTTTCATCGTGTTTCACCTGGAAACCTGGTAGGTACGATGCTAAGCGTTGTTTCAATCCCAAAGACGTTATTTCGTCGAGCGGCCCCGGCTAATGCCATATGGCACGCAAAGACCGCGGGCTGCTTGAGAAAACCAGTACTTATGACTTCATCACCCGTTTTGTATGCCGCATTTGCCACATCGCTACGCTAATCACCC